CTTCTTGCTCCTTGTAGAAAGCTTCTGATTGTTAGATCAAACATCGAATATTAGTTGGAACACTTAATACCGAATATTATTAGAAAAGTTTAGATTGGTTCCTTCTTCATGTTTCTTATGCGACAGATTTAAATTTTGCATGAGTGTTGAATAGATCAATTGATATTTATTCGAGTTAATCTTCGGCAACCTGTAGTAATAAATATACTATAAGTTTAAAAGTCTTCTAGAATTTACTTTTTAACTAAGGATCAGCTTAAAATGACATCAGAAAGTTTCTCTCTTAAAGAAGTTTATAGTTGAAGCCACTGGTAAAAAAAATGTTAAATTTGAGAGATATTTTAAGCAATAGTCTGTAATGAAGAAGATGCTCAAATTATTAATTTTGTTACCACTTTATCCTGACACTTTCCTAAGCAGGATTGCGAAAGGGATCAAAATATGTAAACAAAATATACATTTCCCCTAACAAAAAAATAAATGAATTTGCATAAACATCCGCAGGCTAGACGAAGTGTCATCTTTAACACGTAGACACCTTGCAATCGCATTCGGTTTATTCGTTTAATTACTTCTTCTCGCGGAAGTAATTACACGTAACACTGTTATTGAATTACGAATGTGGCGAGGCGTTTTACCGTTTTATTTGTATATGTATTTAATAAGGCTTGAGAGAACTCGTACGAGGTCGGCGGAAGGGAAGTAAAATTACTCGAGCGCATGTCCCTTCAGCTTCGTTCAAAAAGCAACCATTCGAAGTTCCTTCCTCGCAACAGGTTTCGAGACTATTAAGTTTAATTATTACTGTCCTCCGAAGATATATTTCGTCAAAAAATACCGTACGATAGTGACAATGTACGATGATAAATTACGCGTACCTTCGCCAAATGACAACTTTCACGTGAATGAATTCTCAGTAACTCTACGATGATGCTTATATTCGAGTAACAATTTTTTCCAACGCTCGCGATGTCCAAACTATACTATTAAAGCAGGTATTCTAAACGATTATAATTAAGTAGGGGCATCTGATTTTTTTGAATAATAGGTGCGTACTCGTCAATGGTCGATTCTTTCGAAAATATGCTATTTATGGAACATAATTATCACTAGTGCGTTAGAATGAAATATATAAGATTAAATAAAGGATTAGTTCTATCAAATATTCTGTCGAAGAAGTAAACAAAATATAAACATTTAAGATTATAATACATTACAAAATACAGCTAAGAAATGTGAATCTCTGAAATGTGTTTTTTAAGAAAGGTGAAGCAACATGTAGTAGTTCTAAAAATTAAGAGAAACATACAACACCATAAATTGACAGTGTACCTGTGTTTTTTAATGTTGCATATATCATACAATTCGAAGTTACATGTACCATATATGACGTTTAATTATTTAATTATCATTAATTAAAATATATCATAAATCAATTTTCTGGATATAATACATATGGACTTATTTATTTAAGGAATGAACATTTTACTACTTGAAATTTTATCTTACTATTTTTTAAATCAAATGTTAAACTAACAGTCTTTAGTTTCATCAAAATCCTGTTTGTATGTTGAAATGTAATTTAAACTTCATATCAAATTATTATATAATTATTTTTAATTAATATATATATGTGTGTGCGCATGTGTAAATAAATTTTAAAAATTCAAATCATTATCATATATACATGAAATAATTTTAATAAAATTCGTTCATACATATAAAACGAATCAAATGAATATATTAATTATAAAAGAAAGATATTAAGAATAAATTAATGTATATACGTATACATTAATGTATATTGAAATATGATATAAAATGCCAACAAATATATATAACCGGTTGATTCACATTGTCATTTTGATATATTAAGAACAAGAATGAAAATAAAACGCATGTATTTGCTTGTTTATCAATGTCCCTAAAGTGAAGTGCAAAAGGTAATCAATTTGGCGTGAAAGTACCTCATAAAATAAGTGGTACCTTGCCACAATGTATGTAAACGAGCGTCCTCATTTCGGTGGCTGTATCAAGAAGAGAAATCGACAAATGGACCGATAATTGAACGTCTAACTAAACCAAAAGCCGACAGGAAACTGGGACAAAGTGAAAAAGATCGAATGTCGTTAAAGTCGCATTAGCCATGGGTCTTCCGGTCCATTTGTTTGAGAATACACATTATGTACATGTATGCGCTTATTTTCGATGAATAGCGGTGTTGAACGTAATCATTGAATTACGTCGAACAACCGTATAAACATTTTAGAACACTTAGGCGAAAATATAATTTTACCGATACAATTTGTGCTGGCACAATTTAGTAATACATAGTAATTTAAAAAAAAATTAATACATTTTTAACAAAGCGACGTTTTAGAAATTTAAATAATAAACAATTTAAGACATCACGTAATTCAGATTCGAATAAGTTCTATCGCTTAATTTTGTTCTAATCCCATCTAAAAACTTTATGTAGTTTTGTAAAGTTATTATCGAAGTCTTTCTCGACCAAGCAGCTACGTTGAAAAATGAACAAAAATAAGCGGCAGCCTGGTGCCGGTTTTGGCGCTCTCTAAAACGCCTGTGCCGATGATCGTATTCGAGATAACCCGGTTAACCCCTCTAGCCCATTATTATAATATTTGCCAAACCAAAATATAATAATTGCTTATTTACTCAAACCCAATTACCACAACATCCATGCAACACCCATGGGTTTCTCGTACTACGTGACGAGAGATATCTACAGACTTATTACCATCTATAACACTCAGGTACCAAGCCAGCCACCCATCCCAGCATCCTACACCCTTTATCTTACATATACATGTGCGTATCTACCCAGACACCTTCAACACCGCGCTGGAGACCATAACATTTGATTAGGTTTAAATAATCAGGGAAAATAAATCCGGAGTTAAATATTCTTCCAGTGAATAAGTAATTCGATAATTTCCACTAAACAATCATTGCTAAATAAACTGTTCCAGATAGTGCAGTGAAGTAAATGTTATCGGTACCACAGGTTTATTACATCATAATAAAAATTTTACATGATAAAATTGTTGTTATAAGATTATGGATAAAAATTACTTTTTATGATTGGAGATGATTAAACATAGAACATATAAGAATTGTATTACAAAATAAATATTGTTACATGTGTTACAGAAAAGCATTTGAGCTTGAATTGATTTTTTTTTTTAACAGTCTTATGGTTTCCACAATTTTAGAAGACCATCTTCGCTATAAGAACATAAAAGGTTCTGGTGAGGATGATGCGTCAAACCTATTACATCTTTCTCATGTATCTGAAACATACAAACTATACAATAACACCAAAACGATATAGAGTAAATTGTTCTACATACAAAGAATAGAATCGCTTGGAAACAATATTTGTTTCACTTACAATTCGTTTTATATTAGTATGCGAATGAAAACAATTTTTAATAACTTTTAAATTAAAAATTAGTTGAACATAACGTGTACAAATATGAAATTCTTACATTAAGAGTTCTTTCAAGTTTTCCTGATGATGTAGAAAAACAATAAAGCACGAGATCTTCGCCAACGCAGTAAATAAATTCACCGCGTGGACTTACTACTGTACACACAAAGTCACCTCCCTCTCGTTTACCGCTAGAAAACGATCTTACAATTTGTCCTTGCATATTCATAATAACGACTGTATTTGAACGATTACACACGACGAAATGTTCAGGATTGCGAGGCAGAAGATGTATACTATTTACAGTTAAATCTGCGGCTCCTAAAGATTTATACGTGCCTATGCATTCTGTTGTTTTCAAACTCCAAACTTTTACAGTCCCATCCGAAGATGCGCTAATCAATATAATTAACAAATTTAATACAGGCTTCTAAAATGAAATTATTCAAACATTAAATTCGTAACTGTGTGTACCTTATTATATTATGTCCATCTGGTGCAAAGACTACTTCGTTTACAAAAGAAGCATGCCCTCGAAATTCTTTTAACGTTTTTCCAGATTTAAGTCCATGTATCCTATGTTATAAATGTGGCGTATAATATAACACTGATGAGAACAGATCTTTATTGTAATTATTATTTTCACATACCGTATAGTGGTATCAAACGATGTGGACAGAATTTGACTATTATCTCTACTAAACTGAAGACATGTAACGCCTTTTGAATGTGCTTTCTCAAATCTTCTCAAACATTGTCCACTTTGTACTCTCCACACTTTTATTTTTCCATCTTGTCCACCACCAGCTAACATTTCACTGTCACGGCTAAAAGCCATCGATAATACTGCTTGTTCCATCATCATAAAATTATCTTGAGCTTGATATTTTAGATCTTTCCTAATTTTACCAGTTGTAAAATTCCAGACTTCGATAAATCCATCTACAGAACCGGTAACTAAATATTGACCATCCGGCGAGAAACGTGCACATTCTACATGCGACTTTTGTCCAAATTTAATTTGTTTCGAAAGTTGTGTAGGATATTTCTCATCTTCCTGATCTCGCACTGCTGCTTTTCCTCTAAACAAATCTATCGTAGTACCAGGTGGCAATAAACCCTGATGTTGTTGCCATTTTAATGCCTGTCCTAATAGCGCAAGTAACCTACTAGAAGGTACTACAGACACTTCACCGGCAAGAGCTGTAGCTATATAAGCCCTTCGCTTTTCCTTTGTGCTTCCATCAGGATATGCTTCGCGAGGGTCAAAATATGAGCGTGCAAGTAAATTTTCTAAATGAATATATCTTTCAGGTTCTTGTTGTTTCATCATAATCATGGGGTCTGTTTGACGCAATAATGAACGGGCTGCACCTAATTCTCGTAATTCAATTAATTCCAAAACGACCTACAAACCATTAGAGGTATAATATACCATGAAATCTGAACAAATTTTAAAAAGTAAAATATATTACTTTGCGTAAATTCTTATCATGGTACATATTTTGTAAATACAATAGCAAACCTGTTCATACAAATCGATAAGCTTTTTATCTGGTAATTTTAATGATTGTATAGCCTTTAATACAGTATCCCAATGTCCATTATTTATATCCGCTACAAAACCATCTACACTGTCCACTGTATTCAACGACACCCCTGTCTCTTCCTTTAAATATAAACATTGATTGATTTTAATTATAAAACAAAACAAACATTACATACTATTTCTAATTCAACAGTTATATACATACAAATTGCTAAAAATTACCTGTAATGTTTGTAATGTTTTAACGAGATTCGATTCTTTGAGATACTGTTGTATTAAACGAATTACACTGAAAACAAATGGTACAATGTGACTAATGAGAATTAATATAACTAATTTTATTTATAAATATAAAGTAATTACTCAGCAGATTCAATTTCAATCGACATTTTTTATAATATCCAGGATGGTAACGCGTACGAAGGTAAATATTTATATTTAAGAGAGAAATAACATTTGCTAAGGTTATGTCGACAAACGATGAAGTATTATCATTTTCATCACAGTGAGGGTGCTGATAATGGTTTTAAAAACTAGTGATTTATCTAGTGATATGATATAGTAACTTTCATAAAGTTTGTTCTAAATCCGCCAAAAGGCGATAAAAATAATGTTATAAATTTTACTGATACATAAGTTTTGAACACTATAAATATATAACACTTATTTAATTAACTACATCTTTTTAAATTTTTGATTACAATTTTTCATAAAATATAATTTTGAAAACGCTACTCTATTATATAGGTTGTAGCATTTGGTTATGTCAGTTATATTTAATTTATTCAAATCACCATAGTTACATATATTTTGTATACAAATTATTTGCATATTTCATAAAGATTTATCTTTTACAATAATTCAAATTTGTACGCTTACAGAAGTTTGTCTAAAGTTAATATTGTTCTAAGACAAAACTATTACATTTGTATTCATTTAAAAATTGTTATGTACAAAATGTCTTCAGCCTAATTACTGTATAATCGAATTGTATAATAAAGAAAACTGTTTACGATTGGTTTAACTGATGATTACTTGAATTAAATACCTAAAGTTTCATTAATAATTATATTGAAGTATGTAAACTAAAACATAATTTCAGTATACACACTTTAACATATAAAACTAGCATTTAAATTCATAATTAAAAAAAATCGATACATGGAAGTATGAAACATTATAAGAGAGAAATGTTTATTTTTAAATTATATTTATTCATATTATGTTTGGTATGTTATTTAACCACAGAATCTATTATATTAAATATTTAGTTATAATATGCAATACATACGTACATTTTTTCTTGAAAAAATTCATTTTATTTTGTTTTCATAAAAAAAAAATATAGATAGAGATTAAAGGTGATCGACCATGAACTCCATTTGCTGAGTTATCTATCTATTTCAACAATTAATAATTCAATACTTTATTAAGTGTATAATTATCATATATTTTATTGCAAATATCTGTCAATATTGAGTATTATTTTAAATAATATTATAATATTATTACATACTTCAATTTTTTAAAAATGGAAGGGAAGATGTTTACCATTATTCTCTTTATTCTTCATATCTGCATTGCTGGTAAGATATTAAATAGCTCCAAATACAATAAAATTATTTAGTAGTAACCATTGTTAAATATCATTGTCCATTTTATGCTGTCTTCATGTCCATTGTTATATGTGTTCATTACTTATTGATAATGGTTTTCGAGTTATAGATTATGAATTCAAAATTAATTTTAGCTATAGTTGTTAAAGAAAATAACGTCTTTTTGAGAATATTTTCCTTTTTCATTAAAAGCAACATAAACATTGTGATGGAACACCTTATATAAGATAAAATTTGGTTATCCATTCTCTAAAGTACAAAATATTAATGTTTATGCATACAGAGTCATTTAAAATTTACAATGCACTTATTATAAATTATTTATTATATTATAATTTATGCATGTAAACTATTAGCTTCACTATTGTTAAAGTCACTTTCACGATTTGCAGCTACAGTTGAAAATTGCCCTACAATAATTAGACGGAGCATATGGGGTGGGAGAGGAACAACAGATGTGAATTACTTGATTCTTCCAATTCCTTACGTTGTAATTCATCATACAGCTACTCCAGAATGTAACACCAAGACTACATGTAGCGCGAGAGTTCAAGCTATTGCCTCTTATCATATGGATGATCTTGGATGGACTGACATTGGATATTCTTAAGTATCTTTTGTGATATATAGTATAAAAAAGAAACACATGTATTATTTCCTGGGATAGAGCATAATACTATTTGTACCACAATTTAAATAGTAATACATTAAAAGTAATCAATGATTAATAACTCAACTATTATGCCAATTTAATTTAAAAAAATCTTTCAGTAAATTTATGAATTATAAATATACAAAACGATATATTTTCTTAATTCATTAAACAGATTCTTAATTGGTGGCGATGGAAACATATATGAAGGTGCTGGATGGAACCAAGAAGGAGCTCATACTTATGGATATAATAAAAGGTCCATTGGAATTGCCTTCATAGGAAATTTTCATGGTATTTCATAAAATATTTAAAGTTGGTTCTTATTTTAGGTTACTCTACTCTGTTCAATAATTTTTTTTAATTTTAGAAAAACTTGCAAGCGACAAGATGATGGAAGCAGCACACAAATTGATTCTTTGCGGCAAATCACAAGGAATACTTAGAGAAAATGTTCGTGTAATCGGAGCCAGACAAGTTGTGAACATTATAAGTCCTGGACTTGAACTCATGGGACAAATTCAAAATTGGCCAGAATGGGTTGCTACACCTTAACTTAACTTTTCGTACATTACTTTGACGTACTAATTATTTATCAGTAGTAGGGTTAAAATATCTTAGTACTTAGTAATGTAATAAATAAGTAAAGTTACATTACATAACCTCAATTTAAGATACTTTTAAATCATTATTATTTGTTCGTAATGATCTGGTTAAGATGATACCGGCAAATAAACAATGCTATATTCAAAGTAAATTGTAATTACGTATTATTTTCCCCTTCCAACTCCCAATTGAAAGGCTCCTAACTGTAGGCAACTTTATACTCACACGAGTTATAAGTGTTACAGTTATAACTTGTAACTGTAACTGTAAAATGTACTTTAACTCAAGGTTTCTAATAATTATATCTTGGATACTTAAAGTAAGCTCTAAGGATTATATTTTTGATCTAAAATATAATCTTTTACATTCTACACTTCGTTTCTTTTTCCCCACTTTTACTACATAATAATTCGTGATTCTGTCACATAAAAATTAACTTTTCTATGTTTACTTATTTCATATATATTTTTTTTCATCACTTTTCTAATAAAAGTAATAAAATGTTCTTTTCCCGTTAAAGTCACGATTAAAATGTACGTAATTTTGATTAACTTTGTAGAACTCAGAAATTTTCTATATTTACTTAGGACGAACAAACTATGATAACTATTTGGCTATGTGAGATGGAGATAGGCCGGCCTCATTCGCAAAACGTAATAATCTGCCAACGCCTAACTCGACTAAATTAGTAGATTCCAGGTGTTGGGCCCTGAAAATCTCTAATCTGGTGTCCTCTAGCTCCTTGCACCGTCTTATCACATGCAGCGGGGTTTCATATTCCTCCCCGCACCTAAAGCAGGTTGGGTTAACCCGTAGTCCTAATCTTGTATCTTCTAAGTATCTTTCGGTGTGTGACCCCTCTATGACTTTTATTAGGTCATATAGGACCGTTTCACGTAAATTATAATACTCGTTCGATTTTTTGTTATAAAATAATAATAAAGTACATATAACTTTCATTAATTTTGAAATAATATATTTAGGAACAGAAAATGCTTCGTTCTAAACAAGACTGTGCGTCATTTTTGCACGAGCACAAACAAATAAATTCTTGCAGTTATTCTCTCAAAACAAAAAAGAAATAGAAAAAAGTAGCCCATCCTTCGAGATGTAAAATCGTCTATAAAAAAAATTTATTGGAATACGTTCTCGAGATACGACGAAACAAACATTCTAGAAATACTTAATTCGATTTAGATACTTTATAAGCTACACGTCAAAAACGAAATCACCTAATCATTTGTTACAGTAATTAACAATATATATATTGTATATATATTGTATATATTTCAATTAACAATATATATATATATATATTGTTAATTGAAATTAAAAATATTCTCAATCCCCCATTTCAAATATGTCTTTATTTTCCCTCGATTTTAAAATGTGGGCCGAACGTTCGGAAGCAATAAATTACTTGGAATCCAGAGTATATTTTATGCAAAATCAGAATCTGGCAGTGCTAGCACGCTGATAAAAAAAGAGGATGACGATATTTATCTCTGCCCTCAGAAAAACGCAAACCAGTTGTGTTTTAAGAGACCTGGAATGTAACTGGCCTACCTTGAAAACTGACGCGTATTCGTTTAAATATATTGACCCCTGCTTTGTTCCAAATTAATTGGAATAATGTTATATTAAATGAAACTAGTATTTCCCATTATCTACGTCGCGTTCGAAATCCCATATAAATTAGTAAACATTTATTTACACGTACATGTATATATGTATATGTATACAGGGTGTCCCAAAAATGTTGTAACACCTTGAAAGAGGTGATTCGGAAGGTGATTTGAAACAACTTTTTCCTTAGCGAAAATGTTGTCTGAGGTTTCGTTAAGAGGAGATATTAATAGAAAACGACGACCAATCAGAGCGCGCGTATGCCGTTAGAGCGGCCGCGGTAGCGAAGGCTACGCGCTGAGCGGCCGCGCTCGTACGTGAACAAGTAACTCGACGTGCATCGAAGGACATTGACGCGGCCGCTCAGCGCGTAGATGTCGCTACCGCGGCTGCTCCATCGGTATACGCGCCCTCTGATTGGTCGACGTTTTCCGTTAATATCTCCTTAACGAAGGCTCGAACAACATTTTCGCTAAGGAAAAAGTTGTTCCAAATCACCTCCCGAACCACCCCTTTCAATGTTACAACATTATTGGGACACCCTGTACATGCCTATGGACACATACCTCACGGATACACAGGACAAAGCTCTTGAAACTGCACACCTGAATTACTCTATTTTTACAGACAACAAAGATGCACGTATATATGTCGAGAAGTGCATCACGCGTTACGATTCCTGTGGCTTCATGTGCCAGCCTCAAGGGCATTTCAAAGTTACCAACTTCTTCTCAGTGAAAGAGTACGTGTGTTTATTTGTCCTTTCATGAAAATTCGTAAAGCAAATGTAATGACCTATGAGCAACAATTCAGATATGTTATTTTAAGTATCTTGCCCCTTATATATACATAATGAACTGTGTTTAAAAAGAACTGAAATAATGAAATAAGCAAAGTATTTTTAAACATCGTTTAAAAAATAATTGCTTATTAAATTACGAAATAGAAATATTCCAAGTGGAAAGGATACATATTCATCATACATATTTAACCAACTTTGAATGTTGGTTAAATATGTATGATGAATATGTATCGAGCAGGCTATATAAAATTACCAAATTTTGTTCTTTAATCGATTCTGTTAATATAACTGATTTAAGTACTTTTAGTAAATTACTAGTCTACGACGTGGTACTCAAGAGTCTTCTACTTGTCTCCAACAACTTTGAAATGTATTTGAGGCTTCCACTAAAAACAAAAACAGATGTTTTTTTTTAATATTTAATGTCTTTAATAGCTATAAACGAGTAATTTAGGTATGCTGTTTCAAGTACCTCGGACTGTGTATAAGTATAATGGACACTATTTAAAAAGAAATTAAATAATGAAATAAATAAAATGTAACCAACATTAAAATCACACCTTAATTTTCAATTTGTATTGGAATAATCTTTAAACAATTTTTTTGTGGCATATAATAGACCTAACTAACTTGTCTACTGTGGGGCATGCGTTCAGGACAATATGGCATGCACAAAATTTGTTATACGAAGAATAGAAAACGATTTAATTGTGTTTGAGAACTTAAAGAAATAAATTTTAATTAAATTAGGAAATATTGCAAGTAAAAAGTGATTTGAATGTTCGCTAAATGTTTCATAAATGTTGTTTAGCTGCCCATATAGAATTTCCAAATTTTATTCCTTTATCTGTTTTTTTGTTGTTGTTATTCCAATTGATTCTTAAGCTGCGTGGTCTCGGCGCTTCTTTGTCATTTTTTGTGCTTGAAGACGCGTATATAAACCCCATCCCGACCGATCAGATCTCAGTTTTCACAGTCACCATGCTACGACCAGTGCACTTGGTGAGTTTGTGTTTGTTTAAATAATCTGAACGTAATAACGTCGTGAAGCCTTTTTCTTTTCTTAAATATTTTATTAGAACGAAATGTTATTATTGTGAAAATGTATTTATCCTGCCATTCCTTTTAATATTATTTATTTTTATGCTGTTAAAACGACTATGAAATGTTAGACAAGCTAACTATTTCTTAGGCATTCGATCTTGAAAATTGTGGATTAAATGAACTGTACAATAATATAAATATTCAAACTTAGAAAATCGAACAAGGAAATATATTGAAAATATGGAAAACGCGATTACATATAATATATATAACCATCCTACGACCGCCATATTTGAAAAATTCCACGTATGAAATATAGTTTTGTCCAGGGACAAATTTGCAGCATAGCCTGTATGAATAGTAAATTAGTTGTTTGATATAAAATTAAGAAAAATTTAGAACTTCACAGAATAATTAAAATTTTGTTGTATATTTCAGATAAAATTATTAAAAGAAATTATTATTGTTCTTTTTTAGAGCGCCCAAGATTTCTACTAACCGAAATTAATCAAATATTTTCTTAAGAGGGATTTTAAAATGTATTAAAAAATAGTTTTCCCATTTCCATAATTGTGTAAAGATATTTTACCCATTTCTACAAGTATTTTTTAATTGCTCTAAAAAATTAAATAATAATTACAGTAAAATATTATAATGTAACTACTCAAGTCATACAATTTTCTATTGGACAATTCAAAAATTAAGAGACGAGTTTTTGGGACCTAAAGCGTCATTAGTTCTACTAGGATAGAACGACCCAGTTGTATTACGCGAATTTTGTTTTGTGATATCTACTATTTACTACACGGATAAGTTTCAAAAAGTGTAAAAAGTAATGGAAAAGTACTTTACAAAAAGTACATTTTGGAGAAAAATGTGTGCTACAATGTACCAAAATACTGTTTCATTTCGTTATACAAAATGTCGATAAATGTAGTTCAAGTTATTAATATAAATCAACAATACTAACGAAACAAATTTTAAAGATTGAGTTGACTTCAGCGACAGCTGCGGAAAAAGTAGGAAGCTCCGGGACAAGGGTAGATAGATCAAGATAGATCTTGTCTCTGAAGTCAACTCGGAGTTTTGCTCGGTCTCCTACGCACCCTTAAAGAGAATGTTGAAGAACGTAAATTTTTATTTTAAATTACAGTAAATTCTAGTTTTGTATCGAGTTTGAATTGATAATACTCTAATGTGAATGTGCCTGGCAATGTACCTTTTTGTTTTGTGTGTTAACTGTGGTTTTGAATTCTGGGGTTTATTATAGTCTGATCAGCAGCAGCTCACGCAGCAATTCTCAAAGCCTCCATGAAAATGGAAACGCACAAATAAATAACGAGAATGTTTGCTTGTAAGAAAGATGATTCGAACTCTAACGCGACGCGATTCAAACACATGAAGCTAGGGTGACGCCACCATGGCGGGGATGGTTCCCCGCTCCGTGAACGCAAACTTTGTTTGCACTTTTAGCGCGATAATTTGAAAACTGTTTCAAAATACATGTGTTTTAATAATTAATATATAAAATTGTTTTTGTCTCTGTTTTTCTTACTTAGGCTCTTCTCCTCCTGATGGTGGTGTTGGTAGCAACATTGGAGGAAAAACCTAACAATGAACCCGCTCAAGCGGAAATTGAACCACCCGCAAACAAGGTCAACGATTTAGATGCTGATGCAAACGGCTGGGGGTAAATCTTAATAAAATAATTTAACAAAAAGTCATAGAAGTTTTTAATTTCAATAAATATGATAATAATTGTAAAAGGAAATCTGCGTATTTTAATTCGTGTCAATTAATACTCTCTTAAAATAAATAATACATATACTTTAGTAGACTCTTTTAGCAAAAAAAAATTATGATTGGAATTAAAATTTATTTTAATAGTTTTTCTTTTAATTTAGAACAGAATTTGTTTATTCATGCACTTATTAACAATTTGTTTAAGATATTCCACACCGTGGCGTTATGGATGGAGAAATGGTGGCTGGGGTGGATGGAGAAGCGGTTGGGGCTGGGGAGGAAGAGTATGGACTGGAAGAGGTGGTTGGTGGTAAAACCATACCAAATTTACAAATCCATCAACAAACATCTAAAAATTATCATGTTTTATAACTTTTGTTTGTTTTAACAACCATGTACTTCATTTTGTGATTCGTCATTGTAAATCAATTTTATTGAAAAATTCATTTCTATACAATACTTAAAACAGATAATTTGAATAATCTTGTTTTGAAGCTAAATAAAATTACATTATTCAGAAAAACAAAAATAACGACCAAAATATAATTCTTCCTTCTCCTATACTTAGTTCTTAGAAATAGTCCTATGTACAAAAAGTAACGACATTGAAAGCCTATTACGTCTACATAAGCGAAATAAAAACTATTATTATTATACACAACAATTTTATACAAATTCTGTTATTTCAAAAGTTCTATCTTAAACATACAACTACTAGAATGAGTAATTGAATGAATCTTCATGCAGATGACATTAAGGCACAAAATATCAGAGTCATGGCGGCTGCACTACCGGCATTCGTAGACATTGCGCGAGGTGCGGATCACTATTTCAACTCAGACCCACACATAGTATACTTTCAGAGCGACCACATTGACTCATCTTGGACCGCCATACCAGTTACTTTTCATATGTTAGGGATGCCATGGCTTCTTGAATATATTATGATGTATTTACCAACCACGGTATGGGCAGGTCGATCGAATTATGTATGGAAGTCTAAGTACTTTCACTACCCTACAAAAACTTTCAAGAATAGACTAGCCGTGCAGCCATCAGCAATACCTGCAGCACACAATGTACACGTTGGGAGTTGCCTCAATATTATATTGGTGTGTGTGGACGAAACAGCATCGCACATTGACGAGTACATTACCATACCTAATGCCACATTCATACCAGTTTACCTTGGAAATAAAAAGAGATACCATTGTTACGAGTCGAGAGGCTTGTTTCGGCCGCGTTGCCGAGGATAGTTATCGTTTGGACAATTTTGTTAACAGGGATGTGCTTTCGTGGACCCACCAACGTAGGCTAACGTAGGGTTGCCACTAGGAGATTGGAAAGTTGTCGTGGACGTGCCAGCGTATGGTTAACGAAGGGTTGCCACTAGGAGGTTGGATGTCGTGAACGCGCCTACGTATGGCTAACGTAGGGTTGCCACTAGGATTCGTTAGTTGGGGCCTCGTAACTTCTACTATGCAATACACCACGAGCGGTAAAGGTGTATTGCTGTGGGTCTTCTTAATTTAATAATTCAATAGGATAGGTACTCACGAAAATAGTTAGGATTAGTAAGTAAACTAGTTTCTTAGTAAAAACTTTATCGAAGGGCCGCGGCCACATCCGCTCGAAAGGGCAAATGTCACGGAGGAGAGGTTTGATGAAAATAACGAAACGGAGTGAAGTCTCTGTACGTAACACCATACAGAGGCTCAAGTCTTGGCTCATATAGTAAACTTTACACAATACATCTTAGCTAGGACTACAACACAGGTGTATGCTGAATCCGCTCTGTTGATGTGTAATGCGGTTGACAGTATGGGAAAACTCCTATCACAAGACGGAGCAATGAGGATGGCTGCATCTCTATCTGCGGAACTTAGTTCGATGATGTATATAAGTCCACTTCTAAACGTTAATACAGACACTCCGAAATATCAAAATGATTTAATAGGAGCATGGACATTCGGTGCTTCCACCATGCCCGATAGCAATTTGTCAACGAGGGATGCTTGGGAGGGAACAGAAGAGGACAGAACTGCACGGATACAGTCTCTTTTTAATGGGTTCAATTTTTCAGCCCTTTCTCCCCATAGGTACTTAACATCCATAACTCCGGATTCTTTGGCTGGACAACATCTGGGACACTGGACTATAAGTCGATTAATCAGCCAAGACTATAATTCTGTGATTTTTTTAAAATTTTGTTTATTAATTAGTAACGTATAAAGTTTAAGTTTAAGTTACGTTTACGAACATTAAATTCCGTTGTTACAACCGAAACATTCAGTGTTACGATTATTTCGTTTACGCCAACTACTCTTCCCGACAGATCTTCTTCGGACAAGAAGAACCAACTTAATTTTTACATTTTTCAATCCGAACTCCAAACAGAATGAGTATGTCTAATCTTAATTAAAACATGTCGTTAATTTATTTCTCCTAAAATTATAATACCATGTTTGAGATAAAATATTTTGTTTGTATGATTATTAACGCCCATTATTGTAAACGACCACGAATATTAGTAAGAAAAAATATATAAACTACAAAATACGAAATTGAGCAAAATTTATTATTTTCTTAACTGAACAATTTCAGTGTACTTTATACAAAGCTCCTGTATAATGTAATAAATATATACTAAACAATATTTTGCTTACAATAATGTCGAGTACTAATTAAGGAATGAAATAGAATGTTCATGGCTTTAAATTCAGTTTAACTGCTTCCTGGCGTATAACTGAAATAAGTTCCTGATTTATTAAAAATATAAACCTGAGACCTGCAATCTAAAAATGAAGATATTATAAAAATTTGTCCTGCTAAAGAAGCGCTATCATGATTAATATATATTAATCTCTTATTGAAAAATAAAATTTTAATACCTCGATTACACTATTATTGTTAAGCTTCATTTTATTTCCGGCAAGAATTGGCCTACTGTCTACAAAAATTGGTCGCTTTCCTTCCGAAGAAAGAAAAAAGTCCCCATTATTTCTTAGACGAATAGTTCCTTGTCTGCGTGAAACTTTCCAGGCTGGTCCTTCTAATGTCAAATCTACATCCACATTGTGGTCTTTTGTCGAACGACCTACAGTAATCTAAACGAATAAATAAATACTTAAACATAGAAATACTGAAAACGGAAATTTCATTTAGTATACATTATTCTACTTAATAATTATCTACAAAATTACCTCTCGTGATCTCATTAAATATCGAACAAGTCTTCCTCTAAGTATTGCCAAGGTTTGATTATCAAAATCTGGTGGATTCACTCCTGTTACACTATCAACTAGAACCTGCCATCTACACAATTCATTTTCCAACACTTTTATCTCTCTCTTATTTCTTCTATCTACTGTAACAAGTTCTGCATCTACAAACTCATCTTTTTGTTCGAGTAACTCTGTATCATTGATCATTTCTTCTGCATCAGAAAAATTAAGAACATGTTCACCGCGCGGCAAACTTTGCGCAGTTTGATCAGGAAGAAGATGATACTGTTTCATTAATTGCCAATGACTTAACAAAGCTTTCGCAGTTCTAGCAGAATAAAATGTATGTGCATTTGCTTCAAACAGTTCCTGAAATACTTCCAAAGTTGGTTGAGAAGTCTGCAAAGAAATGAAAAATACCATGTATAACAAAATAAAAGAAGAGTTAAAATATTATAATGACAATAATAATCAAATAGAGTATATATTGTGATTATTAATAAAGAAAATTTTCTTAATTTAATTACCGATTTTATAGTGCCAAGGAGATCTTCTTCTGCTTTGCTATATAAAGTTCTGGCTTGTACACTCGCAATTAATTCTGGATGTAAATTACGCATAGCTTGCACTGCTACTCTTGAAACTGCACTATCATATAGTAGAGCATACCATCTTTGTTGTATTTCTTGTAATGTAAAACGGCAAGAGAATTTTGTACCTCTGTGGACCTATACCATACCAATATGTTTTGTATACTATTATAACATTATACACAGAATTAATATCAGAATTAATATAAAAAGTAACTCTGACCAATGTCTGATCAAAGTAAATAGTTCAAATTTGTTTAATTATTCAAATTCTTCTAATTCAATGAACCAGTATTTATCATACTTCTGCAATTTGTCTTTAATTTTAATACTACCAAATCATTTTAAAGAGCTAAATTGCTATTCTAGACATTTGTAAGAAAATTCCAACAAATACCATTCTTAAATCGTTTGTTTGTTGTACACCAGTGATTAATGCTAAATCATCTGTAGGTTTCCACCTTCCCAGATCTTTTGTAGCATTTACAGAATGCGAATGGTTTTTATTCTTCTTGTTTTTTCTTCCCGGTGCATTTGATCCACCAGGTCTACTTGTCCGTCGATTACATCTATCCGATTGAGAGACATTTGCAGAAATTGGTATAGGACTTGGAACATTTTGTTGCGGAACACATTCCATTGGAGTGGTAGAAATTGAAATAGTTCTAGATCTAGAGGCAGACTTTGCACTTGTAGCTGGCGGTTGTAAGTTAAATGTTGTTTCAACAAGCTCATCGTCAAATTTCCTACGTTTAATTGTGCGTGAAGAGCTACAATTATAATAATAATTAAATATAATTGTAAATCTTGATAACTTTACATTCCATTACATTTAGAATTAGAATTAGATTTTCATGGAAGTTTCCTCTTTTACAAACATTGCTATTGAAAATAACAGCGTTACTGATTTTTTAATATTAATAAACTAACTCGCACCACTATATATAGTTCGAAAACAGTTATTCTATTTGTATACAATAACGTACAATGTGAAAAAATAATTTATTTACAAAAAACTAATAAAGATTGATAAGCACCTTCTACGTTTTGTCGATAACGCATCCAAATTTGTGGATTCAATGGGTATGTTTAAAAATCCATCATTACCGTGAGGAAATCCATGATTTAGACTCGAAGGAGTTGGAATATCCATACTTTTATAGGTTAGCTGAACGCAAATAAAAAATTACAACCCTGCATAAGTAATTTACGTCATTATACAGTCAATTGTACAATAATTACAATAATTTAACAAACATAAATTCTCAACCGAATTTTATTAATACTTGAATTCAGTTTAAATAAACAAATATTTCGACACTTAATGCATTCCAAACCATGCATACAGTATAATCATCATAGATACGTTTCTCTCTAAATTTTAATGGACCTTCAACAAAGTGCCTAGTGGCGTGAATCAGAATTAAATAATGGCGTTCAAATAAGAGGGATATTCAAAGAGAACATTTGGATCAATTTGAATAGATAACTGTTAACCAAATATTAAAACAAATCAAACAACATGTTAAAATTGTAAATATTATGGTTAACATTTTCAAGACATTGATTCACTTGTGACTTCATAAATTGCATTGAGTTAATAATTTATTAATACAGCATTCTTTATTCAAAGTTTTAATTATGTAAAATGTAAATAAGGTTAGATCAAAAGAAAATAAATATATTTCAAAATTACTCTGACTTTATTCTTTTAATACTAAAAAGTCATGAAAATCGTAGCTATTACCAAATATTATTACCATGGTTACAGTTTTGTTTGTCTGTATTACATTTCTTACTTTGTAATATTAACCATACTCTGCATAGTTTCCTTTAAACAAAGGTAATGTATTTATGTAAAAAAATAGATCATACTTTGCATATTAAGATTTACCGATTTGTCAAAATAAAATATTTCCTAATAAAACAATGTGTGATATGATTTATATTAATTCCATTTCAATCATAATTTAATAAGTAAAAATAGTACTTTTGTTTATATATAGTATATAGTAGAAAAAGAATTATTATTAATGTTTATAATGAAATAGTTTTATGAATATAATGATTAATAAACAAAACGAGCTAGCATTTTATTATATAAAATCATTTTCTGTAAAGAAATGTTAATGTATTTTATCGATTTACTACCATAATTTATGCCATTATTATGTATTGTATACAATGTATCTAATATTCTTTATATGTTGATTTGTAGAATCATGAATATAAAGAAACATGATAAAGATTTTACTCAAATACCATGGATACCAACAGTCAAATCCGTACAGGAATCATCAGAATTATTACCTTGTCAACAAGTAACAAAAAAGCAGAAATGTTCAAGAGATCATTCATGGACAAAAATCTCATCAAAGAAACATTTAAATAGATATATAAAATTGTCAGAAGATGTTGGAAGTACATTTACATCTACAATATACCAACTTCAGAAAAAGAATTCAATAAAACAAAAAAAGCTCTTAAAGGAGAGGTCTTTTACATTTGAACACAATCTTACATACCCACCTTGGGAATATTATAAAAATTATAAAGAAAATGTACAACGAAGAACTACAAAAGAGAGTATGCAATGGTTACCAAATAATATTGTTAGTTTGAGAGATTTAGCTGATGGTACATGGTTATGGAAAAAAGCTCAAGAACAAGTTACTAAAATTTTTAAAAAAGATGGGAAGCTTAAAAAATTGAAGGAAATGAAGCAAGAAAGAGGCTTTTTACCAGAAAAGAGGGTAATGTATTTTTATTATTCATATAAACAAAATTTTAAAAAAGTATCCTATTTGAAGTACTATTGAAGTACTACAAAGGCAGAAACAATATAAAGGAGTAACAAGGTTCTATATCATTGTGTTTCTATTACAATAAATTGTAGTTTTATATTGAGTTTAAGTTGGTTATATTGTAATGCCAATATGGCTGGTAATACTGATCTAAAAGAAATAAAATTTATGTTATCTTGTTTTATAAATATGAATTTTTTTACAACATCAGTTGGAATTCAAATTACAGATTTATCGACAAATTGAAGCAGAAATTCCGATATCGATAGAGGAACAAAGAGATATTTTATTTAAAGAAATTAATGAAAGACAAAAACTATTAGCTACAAGAGAAGATAATGAGATAATTTGTTTAAGTAACAGGGGAATTACCGACGATGAATTAAGTTATTATGACATTAATCAACTTGAAAAAGCAAAGAAATATATTACTGGTAGATTGCGAAATCGAGAAAAGTAAATATGCAAATAATCATGCTACTTTTAAATATCTTCTACTTACTATGTAGTCTTACTGTTGTATTAAAAATGTCTATTTTCAGTTTTGATGAACACATAGAACAGTTGAAATTAGAAATTATTGATATTTATAAACAATATCTTCAGTATACTATACTTGATTGTATTATTTTGGATATTGATGAACGAAGAAGGTTACGCATTGAACAATCACCTGTGGAATACCCAGTTTTAATTATACGTGCACCTCTTCCTTGGCATCAATCTAAATTATTAGCTGAACATTTCATGCTACATAATCTATTTATTGGGAATGAAATACTGATAGATATTCAAGATTTATATTTCTTTAAGTAAGATATGTATTCTACCGTCAATTATTTCTAAAGAACTAATTTTCAACACTACTTTCAAAAAGCAAAGTACAGTGATATCATAAGTTGCAGCAATTTGTGTTCATTGAGTTGCAGGAAGATTACCTCCATCATTTTCTGGAATTATTGACATGGAGCAGCTATTGTGGCAACAGTGATTTGTGTGATAAAGATATGAAAGTAAAATTTGTATATCCTTTACTTTATCATTATAAGGCTACTCAAATCGGATTTATGAGGACCTTACAGTGACATTGACACTCAACATAACATACTTTAATGCTTTTAAGATAGGTGAGGAATATACAAAGTAAATTATATATTGTTTTTTATTTCTTCTCTTTCAAGTTACAAGAGTTGAGTTTCAATTGTTATATAACTTTACAGACATCACTGTACTTTGGAAAAAAAATAGTACTATATCTCACTTCCTCAAAAATTTCAATATTAAGATATTTTTTAATGAAAGAAGACTACAGTCTTTAATTTTCCAGATATCAAGATATGATGATATTCAGCATTGAAGACATAGGAAATCTTCCTATTTCAGCATTTGACATAGAAAGTAAAGTAATTTTATTATGCGATAAAGCAATGAATAAACTTATTAAAGAATGGTTGGCTGATATTGCTGAAATTTTTCTGGAAAAAAAGTGTACTTGGTCTTGCTTAGTTGAGGAGCACTATAATGCATCTACAGCATTGATCGAAAGATACTTTTTAAGTGTAAATACTCTTTTATCTAAACAATTACGAATGATAGTAATGAAGACACTGAATCATATCAGAGAATTTTTTATGGAATACAACAATGGAAATAATTTCGAAGGTGATTATAAAGATCTCATGTTCTTCAAGTAAGTGATTTCTTGTGTTTAGTTGGCCTTCGCTTTTTTTTTCAAATGATATTTACTACCGGCATATTGCAGGCCACCTTTTCTAACAATAATAGTTGAACCAGAACTTGGTACACCTTATTTACATTGCAAACCAAGTATTCCAGAAGTACGTATGATAATTTCCCAATGCATTGATAAAATCATCACAGTTGCAACATTAATTCCAAAAATTGAGACTATGTTATTTCCTGAATTAGAGAAGAAGGATTTCTTGTTTTCTGTATCACGGAATGAACAGGAGGTGAAAACAATATTAATATAAGTGTTAATATACCTATTAGTTATTCTTAATGTAAATAATATGATTTGATAAATAGTATAGTGTAATTAAACACTAAAAGTAGTTATGAAGAAAATAATTTGCAATACTTTAATATGTAATTCCCCAATTACTTTAATAAATGTCACAGGTTTTACGGATAATCACTGATATATTAGATGTTATCAGTGCTCATATCATGGGTCCACAAATTTATTTAAAGTGTTATGAAAATTTATTGTACATTATAGACGGACAAGCAAAAAAAAGTTTAGATAAATTTTTTATGACGGAACCAATGCCATTTCTACGCGAATTCGAGCAAAAAATAAAGGGTTACGATATGCTTAGAAAAGAAATTACTATATTTCGTAATAAGGTAAGTGTACAAGTGAAAACTGTTTGGGTTACTGTGTCATATGTTGATTAGAATAGTTTATTTTAGGTTCCTCTCAATATGATAGAAATCGATTGTACATTTGTAAACGATGCGCTAAGACAAGTTCTTTATGATCTTCGCACGCAAATTTGTGATTTCTTTGCAAATGAGTTGCGTTCAAATAATCGTGATTTGTGCTCCAACTTTGACACGATAGCAGAAAATATTTCAAAAATGCCCGAAAAAACGCAAGAAGTCGTCGAATTGTATAGCTACTTATGCGAAAGTCGAGATTCGACTATGTTCAATATGAAGAGACAATTGGCACGTTCTATCGAATTACTGTTATTCCTTTTTGGTTACCAACCACCGACGAACGAGGACATTCAATTAAACTCTCGCACCATTACATGGCCGAAAGAAATGGAAACTGTTATGGAGTTAGCCAATACGAGACTAAATATGAGAAAAGAATTCCTTGAAGAACTCCTGCGTATAAAGAAAGACACTTTCGAACAAAAAATACACAACATGCAATTAGCAATCGATCAATTTAAAAAGAAGGATCCACCGGTGTTAACAATCGAAGAGATGACGGAAGCGACAAAGGAAGCCGAGGAACTTTCTAAAGGAATGGAGGAAATCAGGAAGGAAGCCGAAGAGATTAACGAAGAAGAGTCTTTATTAGATATTGAATTAAGTCCGTATTTACCTTTGCCCGCCATGTCTGCTATGGTTAATATGTTAGATACCGTTTGGCATACCGCGTTAGATTTTCATACCAATTACGATAAATGGTACTACGGTCCTTTCGCGGGCCTTAATGCGGAGGAAATCAACGAAACAACTGAAAATACTTGGCGAACTTTGTATAGATTGTCACGGCAACTAACCGATGTTCCTGGCGCAAGACGAATCGTAGAAATGGTTCGCGGGAAGGTAGAAAAGTTCAAGCAACTTGTACCAGTGTTACAAATCATATGTACACCTGGATTGCAAAAACGCCATTGGGAACAAATCGGTAAAATAGTTAACGTGGACATAGTGCTTACGGATACCAGCAACCTTTCCGACATGATAGAGTTTGGGTTACCGATTCATATAAATAAACTCGAAGACATAGCATCTGCTGCCGTCAAAGAACACGCTCTGCAGCAAAATTTAATAAAGATGAAGGAAGAGTGGT